ACTCGAAAATACTCAGAACTTAAAAGGACACAGTACTTAAAAATACTCTGTTCCAATCATCACTTTGATGCGTGCACTCAGAATCGATTCAAAGTACTCAGTATTAAGTGACGAATAGATACTTAAAAGTACTGAGTTTTATTTATATTTACAGGTATTCAGAAATGATTGTACTCAGTTTGAAGTTCCAATAGTTTTAAAGTACAATACCCAGTAAAGTTAGCCATTCTTTTGACTTAATTTGGATTAATATTTTAATCTGAATAAAGTGCTGAGATTTCTACATTAAGCATTGAAATGTTACCAACACGTGTACATATAAGTATTTAAGGGAAGAACTTAGTACTCTCAGAAATACCCGATTCTTAAAAGTATCGATACTAAAGAACTTGATCCTCAAAAGTGCTCGATCCTTCCCAACATACCTCCTCCCTTCCTAATAACCCTCCATGAATCTCCCTCTCACAATAATTCTAAAAGGTCGCGCCTCGAGCTTTAATTTTTTACATAGGTCAATATAATTTTGTAGGATCAATAAAAATACTCGAAACTATAAGAATACATTGACTACATGCTATAAAAGTAGTATAAATCTAGTAATTACAAAAAAATAGGAATTTAAAAAGTCTTAGCTTGCATAAAATTACATTCCAACTGCACTGCAATCTGAGATTTCAACCTCGAAATCTTAAAAACCTGTTTAGATGTTCCCTGCAGTACGGGGGGACTACAGGACTGCTGAATCGGTAGCTACCTGATAAACACCGTCAATTACCGACCGACTACTTGCAGTGTAATTCATCGATTACTTTTACAAGGCAATGTCCTAGGCGGTAGTCACCATCGGCTCTCTCTGCACTACCGGGAGTTACTAAAGTAGTCGCTTGCGTGATTTATGCGCGCCCTCTGTCGTTGTTTTTCGCTATTCTTCTTACGACTGGTTCGACTCTGCGCTACCATGTGCACTACCACGGGTTAATAGAGTAGCTACTTACCTAGGAGTCGGTGCAGTAGCGGTTCAAAAGTAGCGATTGACTCCAGCAGTACTGGAGGGTTATTACCGCGCTTTCTTTGTATGTATTTCATTGACATTTTTTAATTAGTGTGTGTGTTTGTGCGCGTTTCTTTATGTACCCAGTAGAAATCGGTCGTATGCATTCATGTATTCTTCATGTGAGTGAATTAGTGTGAACAATTTTCAGTCTTGTATAAAAATTTTAGTGAACGGACGTGTTGTGCGATACTATTTTCAGCACAAACGGGCTTTTACAAGATATGCATTTGCATATGTAAGTGCTACTCTTTTGTATGTCCGCGTATATTAAAATGTATCAGAGAAGTAGCATTTACATATCTTGTAAGAACGCTTAATACTGTTCCATTAGTACATTTTTGTATGTTAGAAATATTAATACAGCCATATGCATACAGCAGTAGTACAAGTGTATGGTTAGAGTACGCATACGCTCTGAGAAACCACGCGTGTTAAATGGAAATGAAGGTTCATTTATACTGGCATGTATACACGCAGCAAGCTCATGCCAACAGCGATGTCGTATGCATAAAATTTCTACTGGGTGAGGAATTTTGACATTTCCAGTGAAGCAGCCTGCAGGGTTGAACTTTTTAATATCTAACGGTTTGTTCGTTTTACAAAAGTGAGGATTTCATTGAAATCCAAGAAATCGAAATAATGAATATATATAGGATGTCAAAAGATTTCGTGAAATCTCAGATTTGAGTGCAGTGGGAATATACTCTGACCCTTAAATGGCATGTAGTCAATGTATTCTTATAGTTTCGGGCGTTTTGATTGATCCTAGTACATTATATTGATATCAGAAGAGAAGAACTCATTTTCTTATGTGGGAAAAATAAATGCTCAATGCGCAGCCTCTTAGGTTAAGCACATAGCGGAGCGGCGAGCAAAAGATCGAGAAATGCATCGAGCAAGGCGTAAATAGAGCATCGAGCAAAGAGAATGCTCTTTATGAAAAAGTAGGTACAATTGTACCTTTTCCCGACGTTTGATCACTTAAAGGTACATTATGTACAGTCACTAGATTTTAGGTACAATCATCTTTGATCATATCCATTTATAGTTTTTTTTCTTTTTCCTTTACCGTGATAATATATTTACTTGTAGGCATGGGTGAAGCTTCGCTTTAATATAATTCTAAAGAAAAGTGGTCAAAAGGAAGAAACTAAAAAAGTCATGTATTCTCTTAAACATTTTACATTGCAGCCACTACGAAAAAATAACAGTTTTCTTAGCTATCCTCAAATTCGTAATTTTTGTTATATTTTTTATATTCGAAATTTGAACTAATTTCTTCCATAAAACGCGATTGCGCCCTAGACGGACGTACTCCCCTCTCCAATGACGTTTTGAAATCTACAAACGCTCTACCCCTGCAATTGTTGGAATGCATTTTTTAATCTATTGACCCCATAAAAGCTAAAGTTCCCCGCATATGATAACATTTTCAACTTTTCTATTAATTTTAACGCGTATTTTCACTATGTCAAATTCAATGGCATTTGCGGTCAAATAATTGAAAAGAAATTATCAAATGGGACTAAAAATAATCTTTTGATTTATTTAGATCAGCTAAAGCAGCTATTTGTAAGTTTTTGGCCCAGAATATCATCAAAAAAGGTAGGGATAACGGAAAGCAAGTTGTGTCAAAATATGTCAATAAATTTTGTTCTCAAAATATGACATAATGAAAACCATCCTTTATTCGCCCATACAGTCCAGTATCTAGGATTTCTTAAAATTTCATATTTTCTTTACTTGAGAACTATAGCTATTTGACCCATATTCGCTTTTTGATTTTTGGAAATATATTTAAAATGTTTTCGAAGTTACTAACGGCAATTTGATTATTTTCTCTAGACTTGCTGGACCTAATAAAAGGAATCGGATAAATTAGCACACTTTTCCTGTCGCTTTATAAAAAGCTGTTTTTTTCTTTTTTGTAAATATTTTTCAGTAGTAAAAATTAGACATAAACAATGTTTCTCCGATTCCCATTAGATTATAGTCTATACATACAAGCTCACTTAAAAAAAAAAACTAATCATTTAAAATACATCCGTCTTTTGTATTCATGTTTTAAATAAGATTAATAAAAAAAACTATAAACGAATGATGTAAATTATTTAGGTACAATCTGCCTCATTTAGGTACATTTATTTTATGATATTAGGTACAATCTGAAATTTCCATTTTTTATACCTGCTATAATCATAGATATACCCACTCTTGAAATCGACACTTTATTCGCTGCATTGCTCGATGCTTTTCTCGCCGCTTCTTTATGAGCTTACCCTTGAATTATCGTATAGAGGGGAGATTATTGGAGGATTTTACTGTAATAATAATATAGATTGGCGCCTACACAAAGGGGGTATTCTCGAAATCTTGCAAAGCCAGTGCACGGATTGCATAACTTGCAAATACACAACAACAAAATACATGGGAAACAACATTTCCTATCGCTGAAAAGTATTCAAAGCCTAAGCCCATGCACATATTTAAAAAAAAGCATAGCAAGATAAATGCGACCCGGTGCCCTGTTTTGTTGTTGGAATTCCATATCTCTCTTATTTCGCTCACTTAATTTTTTAGCTGTATCTTGTTATTGTATTTGACATAGAATTTCGCTGCTTGGTATCTATGCATGCTACCCCTTGCAATGGGGTGCTCTCATACTCTTGGCAAATTTGGCATGGTATTTTTGCTTTTCGTGCAATCCGTGCGACGTGCAAGACTTCGAGAATACCTCTAATATGTTAGTGTTTGGCCAAGTTTCTCCTTGATGTTGTCACACAAGGGGAGGGACCTACAGATTTACGCGACTCCAAACGACGATTGTATTTTTATGAGAAGCTGGTTTTCATGGCAGAAATACAATTCGAGGTTTGCCATTGCCTGCCGAGGGGCGACCGCTATCAGAAAACACTTTTTTGATGTTGGTCGGAAAATTGGCGAACCCAGGCTCTGTGGAATGGTAGCGCGCACTGCTAACCACTACACCAAACACTAACCACTATACCATATACTAAAATTTGAGTCGGAGTCCTTTCACAATGCAGGATTTTCTTTGTTTGACGTATTCTAATGTACATACATGTTTATTTTATTTCAATACCATTTTTTATCGTTTATTTTTAACTTTTCCAATTTACAAGAAAATTGTGTGCACATTATTCTAAATATTACAGTTATGCTTTGCGAATTCACCACTGTGTGTTGGTTAAATGTTAGAAACAGCTTTTTATCTGTTGTTGACGCTGGCTATCTTCTGCAGATTTGGCAAGTTGGTTGGTGTCTTCATGGAAGCAGTTGTTTCTTGGCGTTTCAGTGTGCCACAACGTATTTGTGACTACCTTTCGGTCCGGATTGTACTACACGACTCTAAGTTGAGTGAAGAAGTTACAAAGTTATTAGATTCCATTGAAATGCACCATACATAAGGTGAACATACATGTACATATGTAAATACATGCATAAGAAGTATTCAAATTCAAAGTTTCAAATTGTGTCAGTGTAAAAGTGCGGTTTTCTGGTGTTTAATATGCCTATTGTATATTGAACAAAATTGTGTATGTATGTATGCTGCAGATATCTACATGTCCCCATTAATGATATTAACTCGAGATTTAACATACATACAAATGTATGCATGTATACGGTACTTTGGCAAAACCTCGAATTTCAGAAATCACTACAACCAAGTTTCTCCTAAAATTAATTCAAAATACGCCTTAAAATAGTATGATTCATTATATTTTATTTTAATTAACTAAAATGTATTTAATAGTAAATATTCAGATCAAAAAGTTATTCAAAATAATTTCTTGTTATTAATAGAGAGCTTTTTGTTAGAGAGTGTTGTATGAGAGTGTTTTGAGATACGAGGTTTTGCCAAAGTACCGTCGATATGCACATACATACATACACATATGTACATATTGCACTCTAAATAATGCTAATTGCGAAAACAAGTTTAGATAAATAGTACAGAAATAAGTATATGTATAAATAATATAAATCCAACCGAATAAAAAACTTTCATAAAAACATTTTCATTGCACTGTTAGTTTTCTACGTTCAATCAAGTTTTTAATTACCTCATGTCATATGTATACATATACCCTGCAGGAAATGCATCTAACTAT